TACAAATAATTTGAAAATCCCACGTCCAATGTTGACATTTCTCCAAGACGAGTAGTATTTCAACTGTCTGACTGTGGTGTCAATAGAGTTTCCGTTGGAAACCATCCAGACAAGATCCAAAAGTATGATCTGTGACACAAAAGTACCACGAAATGACGAAATATACTATTACTGACTAAAAAACTTGAGTAGTCAGAAACGAGTCTGGCTGATATATAGAATTTACTAGTTAGATGAGTGTGACCTAAATACCGAACGGTTGTTTCGCACGTTTGGGACCAAGCTGATCAAAGGTGTACCCGGAAAAATTAGGCTCAGAGTTGAATTACCTCAGATTACCTGAGTCTGGTTAGGTGACTTGCATGACACTTGTGTGTCAGAGATCACATACTGTAATCTTGGCTGAATGGCTTCCAATGGAAACCCTGTTGACTGGCGCCACAGTTGAGCATCTGAAAATAGCTACTTAGCTGTGAGCAAAGCCAATGCCAACTGTGCAGTTTGTAAATTATATGTAAATTGATCATTTTATCATAAGCATATCGGTAGTAGCATGCATTTCACTTAGCCAGTTTCAGCTGGCCTGAACTAATGAATTTGTCTATGTACACCGCTGATCAGCACAGCCCCGAATCAGCGAAACAACCATCCGGTGTTAAGGTCAGTCTGATATGTCTGACGGAACATACAAATCAGCCTGAGTTGTTCAGTAGTTCATTGTTCCATTTCCTATCGTGGTCAATTACCTGTCCTTTTCTTGAAACATCTTTCTGGCTGCTTTAACTTTCCTCTGTGCTGTTAGGAAAAGAGTGACACACTCGTTTGAGTCTCACTTTTGTTCCAGTACTCCATCCATCCTTCCGCGGCTTTTCATCTGCATTTCAAATTATTCCAATATTCATTATTCATTCGCTAGCTAAGCTGATAAAAATAAGCTTGGTTAGAAAGGTTGGAATCCCACACCAAGTACCAATAACATATCAAAACTTTATATTTAAAACAGTAACCTCGCCTGGTTTACTAGTTCAATAGTTACTAGCCAGTCCTAAGCCCGGGTAAAGAGAGAGGTTGCTCAAAGGGATTGCAACCCTACCCCGCAAAACCAATCCAATCGCTAAAGAAAATTCAAAGCACAAACAAAATAAAAAAATAAAAACAGAATTATTCCTCGCTGGAATCGGAGAGGCAAAATGACGCCGGTTGGTGAAAGCCTTCGGGAAGCCAACTGGCCGATGTGTCTTCTCTCGATGAAAGCGAAAGTAAACATGGGGACATGGAATGTCCGCACTATGTATGAACCTACCAAGGCTGCCCAGATTGCGAAAGAGATGAGGAGATATGGCATGGAACTGGACTCTCCAAACTGTCAACTGGATAATCATTAATCTACTCCGATATTGTCATCCAGACGACAACAACGAACACACTGTGGAAGTGGCTATCATGATGTCCCCAACAGCATCGAAGGCTCACCCTCAAGCAATGGGAACCAATCTCCTCCTCCAGGATCATGACAGCAAGGTTCAACTCAAAAAGACGAAAATTCACAATCACACAGTGCTACTCTGTGCACCTACAAATAATGCAGATCGAGAGAAGAAAGTGGAATTCTACAGACAATTTCAATCAACACTGGACAAGACCCCATCTCAGTTGGCGATATCAAAATTCTAATGCGCGACATGAATGCCAAACTGCGGGAGCGGAAAACACAGGAAAAGAACAAACCATGGGCCGAGAAGCGCTAGGTGAAATGAACGAGAATGGAGGATTGTTTACAGAATTCTGTGCATTCAACGATCTGGTGATTAAAGGCAGTGTGTTCAAGCACAAGGCTATCTACAAAGGGACATGGATTCGATTTCACCAGATGGACACAATACACTAAAAACCAGATCGACTTCATCTCAATCTCAAGAAAGTGGAGACGCCGCCTCCTTGACACAAGGTCAAGAAGAGTAGCAGATGTCGGTTCAGACCACTATCTAGTGGAAGGGGCCTGCCTTCGAAATCAAGTTGAAAACCCTCACGAAACTGGTGATAGACCACAGTTCAAGCACAACACTCGGAAACTGAAGTACGAAACTACAAAGGAAATCTTCACGGCAGCCGCCAAGACAAAATATGAGATATCGTGGAACATCCCTGAAGAAACCTGTATGAAAGAACACTGCAACTCTTTGAAAGAGATGTGGAAAGAAACCCACATAACCGTATTAGGAAGGAAGAAGAAAGGAGATAAGTAATGAATCTCGATGGACACACAGAAGCTGATAGAGCAGGGAGGGAAGGATGGTGAAGTAGAAGATAAAGCAGTGCATGGGTGCACAACGAGAAGAGAATCTGAGTACAACGTATAAAACACCGGAAAAAGAGTGAAAAAGAGTGCACACAAAGAAAAAAGACACTTCTACGACACATTGGTAAGTGAAGCAGAACAGGCTGGAGGCTGGTAGGAGATTCCTACCAACAATATATCAAATAACCAGGTTACTATCTGGGATGGAAGAGATCAACTCAGACGAAACCAATGAAAGATGGTGGAGATAAGCTAGTTACCAAAGAGGAGAAACAAAGGAAACAATGGGTTGACCACCTCGAAAAGCTCTTGAGTCAACTACCACCTGCATGTAACTCATCCAGAAATACCACCAGCAACGTCAGAACTACCAGTGAACACAGACCCTCCGACAAAAGCCGAAGTGAAGTCCTGAATGCCAGAAACCGCTGAAATCCGTGAAAGCAGCAGGACCAGATGGGATTCCGCCAGAAGCATTGAGAACAGTCACAGAGACAACAGCGGACATGTTCACATTACTATTGTAGAAGGTTTAAAAGGAAGGAAGTGAAGGTGCCTGGCGATTGGAAGAAGGGTTACCTTGTCTAACTGCTGAAAGACAGGAGACCGGAACGGACTGGCTGGCTGGCTTCAGGAAGAACAGATCATGTGAGGATCAAATTGCAACGCTAGGCTAAGCATCATCATAGAACAGAGTATATATAGAATGGCAATCAACTCAACTCTACCTCAACTTCATCTACTTTGAAAAGGCCTTTGACAACGTCTACCGAGAAGTAATTTGGCAGGCAGTTGCTTCAGCACCATGAAGTGCCACACACCTTTATCAACCTCATTCAACAACTACATGAAGATGCCACATGCCAAGCGATCCACAATGGGATGCTCAGTGACGACTTTTGAAGTGAAGACAGGAGTAAGACAAGGCTGCCACCTACTATCACCCATGATATTCCTGATTGTGGTCGACTGGATCATGCAGCAAACAGTGGGGAGCGAGAAGAGGGGGATACGCTGTTTGACTGATGAAAAGAGCCTAGAAGATTTGGATTTCGCCACCGATGATGATTTATGTTTAATGTCGTACAAACTCGATGATCTACAGGCGAAAACTGGCAAGTTGGCAGAAGATGCAGCAAAGACGGGACTTCAAGTGAATATAGAGAAGACAGAGGTGATGAAGATGCCCAACCAACACCACCACCAACACCACCACCACCAACAACAACAACAACAAACTCCAATCACCATGAACGGAAGAAACTTACTGGAAGTAGCCCCCTTCACCTATCTAGGCAGCACTGTTTCAACTACAGGCGGCGGCACAGACGAGGATGTCAAAGTCAGAATCGGAAAGACAGCAAGACAGGCTTTCATTAGCCTGAAACCAGTGTGGAGATCTACTGCACTGCACTGCACTTAGCGTAAAGCGTGAACAAGATGCGGGTTTTCAACACCAACTTCAGTCAAATCAGTGCTTCTGTATGGCTCAGGGACTTGGAGGGGGTTACGAAAGGGATTTCCAACAAACTACAGACATTCATCAACAACTGCCTACACTGGCTCGATACTGAAGATCAGATGGCCAGAATAATAAGAATAAGCAACAAGGAACTCTGGCTGACTGGCAACGAACCAACCAACAACCTATTGCTGAACAAATATGCAGTGGAAGGAAGTGGAGATGTATTTGGCATACACTGAGAAGGCCGACTGGGGACATCGGGCGACAGGCCAGGCCGTTGAGTGGAAGCCAGATGGGATATGACGAGTTGGGTGTTGGTGCCGAGAGTGACATGGGGAGATCGTGTGAGGAGGAAATGAGAGGTTGTGGGTTGTCGTGGAGCCAGGTTCAAAAGATTTCAGAGAGTGGAGAGTGGAATGGAGACGTGCTACTGGAGCCCTTGCTCCACTTGGACCGCAATGGAAAGATAATAAATACTAATTTTCAAAACAGTTCACTCAAACTGTATTTACATTGTAGAATTTTAAGAAACTGTCCTTCAGTTATTTTGCTACTAACTCAACGTCAGCTCAGATGACTTTTCCCTGTAAAATCATACTGTATGGTACCTGTAAACCATGTTAAACTTAGTATGGAACATATATTGCCATAACTGTAGGAATCGAATAATGTTTGCTTTTTGTAAACCAAATATCAGACAACTTTATTTACAGTACTACCTGTGAACACACAAAGTTTTTAAAAGCAAAGCCAATGTGACTTTATGACTTGACATAGGAAAATTAAATTTAGTTGTGAATTTTCATTTTCGGAGTTAAATCTTTTCACACTAAATGATATCCAGTTTAGATTAAGAAGAAATGTACATAATTGATTGATCATGAGGAATTCGATGCCTTCTTAAGACACTTAATACCTTTCTTACGTGTTTCTAGTCAATACATATATTAGGCAGAACGTCACATCTCACTGTGTACATTCCTCTTCGATGACATTTTATTCCTAATTCTAACAAGGTTAAAGACGTAGGTCATTGAACATTTACCATTGGAACTTGAATATATTGGTTACACTTTTAGTCCTAGGAAGTTTTACATTTTAAATCCTGTATACCATCATGAGAAAATCCCCTTAAACGATATAATATAATATTATGAAATTTAGCAGACAAATATAGTTTAATTAAAATATTTCCTTTTTATAAACTATTCTATTCTTGTATATGTTTCATTTTAGGTTAGTGAATGCAGGATGTTACAAAAAAAATCTATCAGAATCATTGATGAACTTATTAAGAGTGAGTTTAGCTCTAGAGATAGAGTATTTCCCTTTTCCAGCATAACGATACTAATCATATTTATTCGAACTAAAGCATACTAATCAAGTGGAAACGATGACATAAAACTTTCTACTAAACCGACAATGGAATTACTTTTTCAGTCCTGTCAACTGATGGATTGTGGTAATGACGATTATCATCTTCTTGATCAGCTGAAAGGATTTTTTTTCGAAAACTTTTATAGACAGTAGTAGCTACCTGTTGTATACTCAAGTCAATGAAGTACCATACTAATATGGAAGTAAACAGCATACTGAAGTATAAGCTTGACAAAATTATGCATTCGGTGAAGCTAAAAATATCAGTGAGCAGTTACAGAATAATTTTACATCTGTTCATACATTTTGTTCTCAAGAATAGATACTTATTGATATTATTGAAAATGGAAGGACTGTTCTCCTAATATTCAGATATAATTTCAAACATAGCATTATCTGAATTGTGAATTGACAAATTAATCGCCATGTACCATATATAGACCGAATAGTTGCTTCGTTGGATTTGAAAATCATTGCAGTAGATGCTTATTAACTTTAAATAGCTGTAAAAATCCACTTGTCTTTACCAATGAATCACTGTTCAGTAATTGTTATTATGGTCTTCAGTGATCTTCACAAAACAAACAGTTTCATGTTGTGTCAGATGACAGACAACTTTAAAAAGCTATTCAGTTATATTTGTGGTTTTTTGCTGGTTGTCATATAGACCCAAGTTGATCTGTCTCCCTTCAAATATGGGCTTCTGTAGAGCACGAATTTCATCATACTGAAATTTGATCCACAACTTAGGCATCCACAATACAGTACCTATATTCTAACAGAGACGGTTCACTTCGCTTTAACATAGAAGTCAACAAGAAATTATAAGCTAGAATAAATAACTAATGTTATCGATTGCACAACACTTAGTTTTCATAGCTCAGTAGCCTACTGGGAAATGTCCTGGTGTTTAACACTATGGATACTGGATATGAACCACAGTGGGAGCAACTTTACTCACTGAGATCCACGGACATCAACTTCTGACTCATAAACATTTTTAATGAATTCTAGCTAGTAGTATTCACCAATGAAACTTTAAAAAAGGATGACCAAGACATGAAATTTAGTGTATACAACGAATGAAGTCTTGTGAAACAAAGACTTTTCTTTCAAAGTGTTCAGAAAAGGATTCCAGCCGGGATACAAGGTGAAATTCTTTCATTTGCGAGCGGTGATATTGTTTCTATCGACTGAATCCACTTTATGTTGTCTTCGATTTCAAACCATTCAAAACTAATACAAAAGGATTCCTTTCTTGATTTTAGACATAGCTTGGTGGTATATATATATATATATATATATATATATATATATATATATATATATATATAATGACCGAAATGGAAATAAACATTTAGCGATACAGGAACTCGAACCAACAGTCTTTGTCACTCTGATCTAATTTCCTCCTGGCTGTTAGACGCATATCGAACAACACAGTTGTCTCTTTCTTCTTTGGAGAATCGTCAAAAATCTGTCATCACTGGACATATGCTCTCAACGTCACTTGCTTGGAAGGCAAGTACGCCCAGCTGACACGTCGTAAGTAGGACGAAACGTGCATCTTGAATTTTACTGGTAGCCACTATCCACCATCAGTAGCAAGTTTGAAGAAGCTTATATACCGATTTTGGTGGACCAATCTGGTCCGATCAAGCAGTAAAAGTTCTTCACATTTCTTTTCAGCCTAGTGAGTGACTGGATCACTGTTAACCTAAGTATATTCAGTAGTCATGGCAAAAGTGGAATTTTTTGAAAAATTAGTTCATTATTCAGTCATAAATTCTTCAAATGTATCTATTACATCCGCAATAATGTTTACTACATTTTGCTTTGAAATTTTGATGAAAAGTTTGAAAGGTTTTCTGATGTATTTCAATTTGTCGCAATGTTCAACATTTATTGATAACCAATACAGGCAATGTATAATCCTCCCCTTTTTTAAATAGCATCTTAAAGAAGCAGTTTGTAGATTCTATGAGAGAATGACGTCCCACGAGATCTGGTATTTTATGGCAAATCCCTCACTTACAGACTTCATAGCCTTGCAAAGCTATCCTCTTTATGAAGTTATGTGTTACTGTTTATCATCCATGTTACTGCTAGATGATTCCTTACACGTATTCATTCTTTTTTTAATTTACTGTTAAAAATCCCCTGAAACAGATTAACCCAGTGGTTGAAATATTGACGCGTTCACCGTTATACCTGAATGTTCTTAGTTTGGTCCTTGGCAAGGTCAGGGGTACTTACTGCTGAGAAATCTCATACTAGGCTGAAACAGGTGTCTAGCACTCTCAGATTTTCAATGGTTCTTAAAACTTATGTGATTCCGTGATGAATACAACCGTGAAATTTATAAATTCTTAGAAAGTTTCAATTCTGTATTAAATTTTGTATTTATTTGATCGCTCGGTGTATGTATGTTACACTTAGGTTAAAGTAGTGTGCATAAAGGCAGAGATAGGTGAAAAGTTGGGGAAAATATGAATTTCTAAAAAAAGAAAAAACATTTGAAAGTTGTTTGACTACAGTTTGACACTCTACAGTAACACTCTTCGAAGATCCTGTTTGAGATTGAACCCAGGGTTGTCATGTTTTGTGATGTGTACAGAGTTATCTAGCTAATGGATTGGAAAATATTGGCTGATGGTTTCAAATTTCATCAGTTAGCAAAATGGTGCAATTATCACTCAAATTCATCAATATGTAACGGTCTTCTGAACTGTCAAACAGTCCCTGGTTTTCACCTAATTTTTCTTTAATTCATGAATGATATTATTAGTAGGTTAGTACAACTCAGAAGACTAAATACATACTTCTGTGGTAAAATATAAGGGGTTATCGGTATTTTAAAGCTTATAGAGGTACCTCACTGATGATTTCCAAACTGGTCAACTGGGTTTTCAATCCATGCCCCAGTAATTAGTATCTGGATACCCAAATGAATCAACTATAGCTGAAGCTGGACAGGAAATATTGTACAAAAAGATGCTTAAAGCAACTTTTCTACATCTTATAATTTATCAAATATGTAACTGTTCTGGTCGTTATTTTTAAATGGTGCCATTTAATGAAGTTTTTAAGTGTTACTTTGACCTGTATGGGGGATTCAGGTTGTCTATCTGGGGTCTTTGAGACGACAAGAATTAATAGTTGGGGACTCCTGGTGATATGACTCATCTGAAAACTAGTTCAATAGCTTTTTATTTCAAGTCGATTTGAAGGCGAAAAACGTGGGTCATTACATTTTAATACAAATATTGAATGATAAGGTACTTGTCACCGGATACACCGGATACTGGCCTCAACCCTTCGTGGCGTTATCCCTGTGTGTTGCTGAAACGTCCTAAATTAGAGCATCACAGATGTTCACAGCACCTAGGTTTTCCATCCTTCTCCAACTGATATCACTCTGTAATGAAAACTACTCCGACAACAATACAAGCCTTAAATTGATGCTGAGAAAAGAAATCTGAATCATGATAAAATTGGTAACAAAAAAAGAGAATCTCCTGTGCAGTTTATACGAAAAATTCCATGATATTCAGTTGTTAAGATGAATTGTATTGTTAAGATGAATTTGCCCCTAGAAACCACTAATTATTTATACTTGTAATTTACCAATGCCTTACCGTGTGTAATTCAAGAACCTATGTTGGCATAATGGCTCCCACGTAGATGCGTAGATATTGCCTGATTATTTATCGTTGTAATTTATTCGGTGATAGCTAGAAGTGAAATCTAGTACCCATGTTTCTTTCTATTATGCTGCGTCAGTATCCTAGTGGACGGTTCTCTGGCATTTGAAACTATGGATACGTGGTTCGAGTTTTAGTGGGATGCAGGCACATCTGACTGAAGAGTCCCAAATAGGATGAAACGCGCTTCCTGGATCCCAGTGACAGTCACCACCAGCAAATCATATCAGCCATCAGTGTTTTACTGTTAATGTGAAGAGTGAAATTTATTCATGTGTTCCTTATCATATACATTAATGAGCTTTTGGGCTGATTAGATTCTAAGTTTCCAAACCATGTTACCCCTTAGTATAATTACTTGCACTATAAGTGGCTATCGTGGTTCCGTGGTGAAGTGGATTACGCTCTGGCGTTTTAAGCGGTCGGCCCCGAGTCCGGATCCCGGTGGGAACAGCATCACTCACTGAAAGGTAGGTACGTCCAGCTGACGAGTCCCAAATAGGACGAAATGGACATCCTGGATTCCACCGCTAGCCACTATCCGTCTTTACCATGTTACCTCTTCTTTAAAATCTGTTAAGCCTAAGGGTTTCACCATTAAAAGTTAAGATTCAATAGGCATTTTTCTGTCTTTTTGTTGTTTTGTTATTCCATTCTTTCAATAGAATATTTGATTAGCATTTGACTGTAGTGTTGTTGTGTTTTTTGTCTTCTGAAGTTTAGCAGCTTGAATAAGTAACCTATGACTAAAAACTTTGTAATGTCTCACCAAGTCATTCTTTGAAAGAGTTACGACCCACATATTTTTCAGAGAAGTTTCAAGGCAACATTGCGTAACATTTAAATGTTAAATGTTCTTTTTATACTGCGGACGTATTCGAACCAGTAACCAAATGATTACCATCCTAGTGCTCTACCAACTGAACTGCAAGACAGGATTGAAGTGAAGTAAAAATTTGGTCAGCAGATGGGTATCGTAGTTCAGTTGGTAGAGCACTGGGTTGGTAACCTATCTCAGATAGGCAAAAGGATGAGTATAATGTCCCGTTATCTATTCATTATACTTAGATTATGGAATTTTTAGAAGAAAGGGAAAAATGGACATTAGATCACAAACGAAATTTAATGCATTTGTTATTACATGTATAAACCTATATATTCAACCCTTTTAAGCGCTACTACCTTTTGTCTGTTTTTATCAAGGTTAGTAATCTATGCTTAGATATGTTCAATGGTGAAGGTGTATTAAATGTTGAAGAGAAGTTGAAAACAATTGAAAATATTCAAAATAATTTATTCAAATTAATTTATCAATCATCACACTACAATGAGTTAATGATTGACAATTCACCAAATTATGAACAAGAAGTTACTGCTGAATTGCAAAAAGTAATCTTTTTTTGTATTTATATGTTGATACTTATAATTCCCCGTTGTTATACTGGATATAATCGATATTTGGGTAGTTTACAAGCTATGTGATATATCACAGAAAAGGTGTGATCTAACTTGATTTGATGTCCACAATCTTATAAAACTGAAATGACTGCACTGTTGATGCAATTTATCATTCCTTTTCATACCCAAGCTGTTACATGTTTACAAGCGCCCATGGATAGAGCCGTGAACAGTTAAACCCATAAATACACACTGTAGAGGCCGTAATAATCTATAATTGGTTCACTATGTCCATAGGGGGTTTGGCTGAGAAGATGACAAAACGTTTTGCTGTTATAAATGTTGTTTTGACAGATCTACTCAACTGATGTGTTATGGTATCTAAGGTGATATAACCTCTGAAACTTATTCTAAAATATAAATGTTTCTCAGTAAAGTTATTCTTCTTTATAATCTGTCTAAGCCCCACCATTTTTTGAAAAAAGTTTACTGGATAAGCATTTTGCTGCGGTATTATCTTCAGCTTATCCATTTCTTCTTTAACACAGTCATCAGAACATGTGTGTTTTGTATTCTGTAACTCAGGCATTTGACAAGGCTTCTTTTATATTACTGTGAAGCTATGAAAGTCCTTTTGTTCTTACTTAAAAGATTCCTCTAAATATACCCATCCGTCTTCTAGGTGAGAAGGATATCTAAGAATGATAAACCATTCTCATGTTCTTCCTAACAGATATTGAACTTCATATCTAGGCAAATATTTTTGAAAATATTCAAAAGATTGTTTTTGTTGAAGCATTTCTCATAAACGATGAGTATATCGTCTTCATACCAGCAGTAATAGTCTAGCTTATTAGTTCTGTCTTTAAGTGAACCATTTTCAAGTTCCTCCATAAGATATTAGCTAGTATAGAACTCATTTTCTCATAGTACTGATCCCTTCAATACTGAGATAATTTTACGCTAGGCCTTACGTTGGCTATGGAGCTGAGTACATCATTCATCCCGCTTGCCCACTTGTAAAATCCTATCGAAAGCACTACCCAGCCTAACTAGCCAAGGGGGAATGGAAATGTATTTACAGCTGAATGACAGAATACCTTGTAAGTTAAAGTGACTCATCTTATTTTGAGAATTTCCTCAAAATCCTCTACTCGAACAGAGTGAGATCAAGGCATTTGGATATAGCTGAAGCGCTGACTATTTAAATGTTCAGAACAGCACTTTGTAACCAGAAATATACATATAACCTTTGTCTTTCTCATAGTCATTATAAAACCTTGACAGTTATAGATAAATTCCGCATCGTGTGACTACTATTATTTTCCTTTTGTAAACTCTAGTTTTGCGTAACTTCCTTTCCTTATTCGATATATTTTGACCCCTGTCAGAAATTAACTCCGGAATGTTTCACTCTATGCAACATATATTCATGAATATACAGATAAGTAAATGAATTAGTCAAAAAAGTATTTTTTTTTCTTTGCAACCGCTTTTTTGTCTTTTCTTATAATCAAATGGGTGCCTTCCGCTACTTAAATTAAACTCTGCATGAGAAAGTTGAACTTAATGGAACCAACAATGTCTCATCATTTTGTAATTTTACTTGATGGTTTGCAAAGGTTGACTGGTATGAGAGTGACAGCTGGAAAACCATTAAAAACTTTAAGGCACTGAATAGTTGCTTCGTTCTGCTTTGAAACTTGTCAGCAGTGTTCATTCATGACGTTTTGAAAGAACCAGGTCAGAACACTTAACTCTACTGCAAAACAATCAATTTGTCCAAACTGTCTACTCAGTTACTGTTCAGTAACTAATTACTTTGAGATAGATTTCTTGAGATTTGAAGCAAAAATTATGGCCTATGAGGCTAAGAAAGTTGTCACTCGAGACGGATTTCTACAAATGATATCGGGTGATGATCGCTTTATATCTCACATTGACGAGAGCATGATAAATATGACTACTGAATATTGATATAATCATAAGTAAATTTAACGATCCCGGATGTTCAAACTAAGGGTTCCTAAACCAGAGTGAAACAGCTGTTCAGTGCTCTCAGAACTACACAGTGTACGGCAAGAATCCTCAATGTGGTTTCCTATGGAGACGAAAAGATTCAAATCACGTAATTTGATCTATCCAACATCACAATTGACGTAAGTTTGTGAGAGCAAAAGCTACTTGAAATGTACTACCGACGGATATGAGAAGTTCTACACTATTCAAAGCAATCAACCGTTCTCTACTCTCTGAGTTCAATCATTCGAGATACATGGCCAATGATCTCCACCCCCCACCCCCACCCCCGCCATAGACAAGTAACTAGCCAGAATCCAGATAATTTGGACAGTTTGGTTTTTCAAGCCGAATCAATCTGAGCACACCACCTATGAGGTGAGTCACAGTATATCGAAATGATTGTCCGTTGTTTAGATTAGGATTAAAATCTCTCTTCAAATTATGTCAATCTTTAATGTAACTTACTATGACATCATATATTATTGTAAAAGTTGTCTATCAGTAAATACTTTAAGCTAATGGAAAAAAAATTGATTAGTCAGTCAGTTATTTCTTTATTTTCATAATAAGCGCAGTTATCTAGGACTATGGAACAGTAAATTAAAAGACTGTTAACCAGATCCAATCAACTATCGTTTATTATATCTTCTAACCCAATCAATCATTAGAAATTATCGGAGCATTTATTGTTCATCATGATAGATAATATATAATGTTGATTGATCTATTGAAATTAAATATGGTAAACATTTTAACTGAAAAACTTTTCGAGTATAATTTACTTGTTTTACAAAATATTTTACTTTAGGAATTGTACAAAATAATAACTGATTATCAAGTTCATTTACAAGGTGAAAATGGAATTGTTCAACTTTTATCAAAATTTATTCGAAATATTAAAGATTTCAGTCAACGTAAACAATTCAACATTGAAGAATATACTGATGTTGATAAAATTTCAAATTCAGATAATCAAATGGACATTAGTCATAAGGAAGAGTTAAACAATCAAGAATTTATGCAATATTATAATTTTTGGATTGAGACTGTGAAAAAACTTTTTAGTTGTATCGGGCAAACAAGCAACTATGAGTTATCTTTGAAAGAAACTGATACTTCTAAGTCAGTTAGTGATGAACATGTTATCAGTGAAGATATCAGTCAAGATATTTCAGATTCTTATGAGTAGGTTAGCTAACGTAAATATTCTTTATAAGTAGGCCTAAATATTTTGATAGCGTTGTGTTCTATGAGCTGAATGGTTTAATCGTGAAGGTTTCATTGTCACTCTTGACAACATTATTAGCACACACTTCAAAAAGAAGGATTTTCTCCACAAGTGGCTCAGCAACTTGCCCTGATGACCTTGAATGTGATTAGTTGCTTCTTTCAAGTTGTTATTCATCGTAGACTGACATCAGTTGGAGGAACAAAGGAAACCTGGGAGCACTGGACAGCTGTTTCGTCCTAGTATAGTAGTAAGGTCACGGGTTCGATCCCTGCTGGTGGGGTCGTGGGTGCGCACTGCTGAGGAGTCCCATACTAGGACGAAACAGCTGTCCAGTGCTCCCAGGCTTCATTTGTTCCTCCAACTGATGTCAGTCTACGATGAATAACAACTTGAAATAATTCCAAATCTCCACAACTCCCTCAAAATTTAGTTGCTTCTGTTAAAATTTTGTCATTGTCTCCATGTGTTTCCATTCGTTGTCCTGGTGACGTGAACTATGACCGTCATTTCGTTTCTGATTGGTTGATAGATTGGGTCAATGTCAATATGTCTGTTGATCGCTGACTGACCTAAATGTCATGCTTCTAAAATTTTTCTAACATCTTTTTCAGATCGCCTATTCAGGACTTCCATATTTTGCCAGTGGGATTTATATCCACAATCATCTAAGTGTATTTATTGACGTGAGTAAAGAAATGTAATGATCCTTCACTGTCAGTTGATGTTCGTGTGAGCAGATACAAAGAAGGCGATGACTCTGTCTGATATATTGTTTTTCGTCGCTTCTGTGATTTATTTTGTAGAGAACTTTTCGATTGCCTTCTTTTGCTATGGTATCTTTTGCTAGCTACATTGATTCAAAAATGTTTCAGTAACCTATTTGCAATCTTGGATATATTCTTCTTGTAAAAAAGGAAGATCGGTTTCTTGGTTTCTGTGACTGAATTTTTAGTCGACGACAAAATAAACAAGTATCTTTCAATGGTGTGTGAATAGCCATTCTTCTGGAAAACAGTCATCAAATAGCTCTCTTCTTTTCCCTATACGGTTGATGTGCTGCTTTATGTCTTCAGCCTACATAACAACACGATTCAAGAAAATTATCACATACACTTGATGATTCTATACTGTTACCATGTTTGATGGTTATTCCGACTTATGAGTTGTGTGCAATCAGGTAGTGTCATAAACCCTGAAAATATGTGGATGACAACCCTTACTTAGAACACCAGTCTGCTCACAGTCCCTGTTAACTTATATACATTACAAATGTGAGACATTCTATTTTATATCTGAATGTTACACTATGGTAGAACAAGAAACAATCAAAACTGTAGGCAAGAAAAGTCTAGTAAAATTATATTTGGGGACTGTAATACACGAGACATGTACGTGACTTCATTCTCTTGCGATTAAGTAGATTTGGTTTGTTAAATGTTCTTAGTTAAACTAATTATCTGCCAAATTAATGTCACAAATGTCCTGCTCAGCGGTCAAAAATGAGATTTTTAAAGCGTTTACTTTATAATGTTTAGTAAGTTCAATCTTAAGAACTTTATTTGCTATCCAGTCTTATGGTACTTTAGAGTGCAGTTGCGGATCTTTGGTTAAGAACCGGCGACTTTCAACCTTTGAGTGAACAGTTTGAGTTCTTTCTCATATGTCATTGTATAATCATCGGAGCTGCATCATAGCCGTCACGAATAGGTGTGTTTACTTTCCAATATTTCATCCCGAATAGGATTCAAGTATTTTGGGCAAAATGTTCTTCTCAAGATTGTATATTCTGCTTTTGGTCAAGTCGTTATAAGTGTGGAACGTAGATTGAGTCTATGTTGATGTCTTTCCCCACCTATTTCGTATGAAGAACAGCTTCCCATGCTACAGAGTAACCTGCAAAGATAATTAAATTTTTAGCACTATCGCTAGAGTATCAGAAGAGCTGAGTCCTACGAAAATGTTATTTTTTAGTAACTTACTGATGCACAAATTATGCTTTATACTGATTTCTCTCTGGAGATTAACACATTTTTCATGTTGCTTAGTCCTCGATGCTGATGGAATTCTGTTGAGGTTGTAGATACGTGTTGGTGATGAGCTGCAAAAAGTATGAAACCTAGGTCAAACAGGAGTTTTCAGTCGATTGCTTCCATCCAACTAACATCTACTTCATTGCGATGGTAATAATCGGTAGAGTTTGGCCAAGATTTATGAGTTGATAATATGCGGTTGGTTATACTCCAGTGACCAATCAATGTATCTAGCCCAGCCCTACTGGAGGTCATTGGTAGTTCGAATAGCTCAGTGGTTATGTCTCTGATTGCCACACTAGATGATGTTGGTTTGAATCTCAATACGGATATCTACTCTGTTGAGGTTACAGATAGGCTTTGAAGACAAGTGTCAGCGAGGACTAAACCTAGGTTAGACTGGGCCTACTTCCTATTGTTTCCCACCTAAGAACAAATTGAACCTTATTCTGTTTAGAGGTAGCATTCATCATGAACTGACATCAGTTGAGGAACCATTGAGAATCTGGGAGCACTGGACAGCTGTTTCGTCCTAATATGGGACTTTTCAGAAGTACGCACCCACGACCCGGCTGAGGAACGAACTCAGGACCTTCAGGTTTCACGGCGAACACGTTAACTATCCAGCCACTGGGTCCGTTCTCAGTGGTTCACAATTTCCAACTTCTGTCAATTCACGACAGAGCACGAAAATCACACAACGTCCTCAGTGAACATCTGCTTCATTTCAGACTAGTTGACCCCACAGTCACGGGTTCTCATTCGAGCTTCGTGATATTCATCTAGAAGCAAGTCAACAATGAGAAGAAATATAATGCATTTTTAGGATGAATGGAGATTTTTATTTTTAAATATTACGTAATTCACTGACTTACCTTCTGTTTAAATATTTATTCTAAAATCAAAATTATTATGAATCATATGATTCTGTATGTTTAGTAGATAAGGTTAATTTTAAAGACCACCCCGACAAGTGCTGAATCAACCAATCAAGTTTATGTATTCCAACTTGAAAACATAGTTTTCTCGTAAAATATTCAAGCTTAATCGGTTACATTTGCAGTTGTTATGGTGGCCTTTCAAGTCAATCATAGATAACCTACCACATGTTTAAATGTTTCTCGAACATTGAAAGCTGCTTTTATATTGTTCAGAAGTGTAATCCACTTTTGTGCACATAACTAGATTTTTATAAAAGAAAACAAAGTCACCATATTAGATTTGTTTATTTGATTCATAATACACAGTGATTTAGTGTTATTCACTTGATGACGGTGTTTTGAGCTAACATTATTCCTCATAATCATATCAATGTAATCATATCACTTTCAACAATCGATTTTTATAGTTCTGTCACCTCATACTCTTTGTTTTCAGTGGTAGTAAACGTTTTTCCACATCTCTGGTGTAGAGAAATGTTGCATCATTCCTATTACATGTGTTGGGTGTTGGTTGGTTCGATGAACAAAGATTCAGTGATCAATCCTCATCTCTCTCCACTTGATTATATTGGACTTGAGAGAGTGGTTTTATCTCACCGTGTTGTGTGAGGTTGCGTGTTAATGCTTGCGTGCATTGCAATAGTCAATTGTTTTTCTAGACTACTCATCTTATTCGTGTCTGTCATTCTATATTTATGTTCGGCCAATCTAACTGATCCCGATCGGCTAGTTTAACCAATGTACTTGACTTTGCAATCATGACATGGAATTTGATGGATGAGATTACTTTGCTGAACTGGTTCTATCGGATCTCCACAAGGCAGCCGATGAAGCTCATCTCTGAATGAGTTTGTAGGTTTAAATAACATCTTCATTCCTGCTTTGTTGAGGATCCTGAGTACAGTTTCTGATATACCTTCATTATACGGGTAAGACAATGGAGACTGTGAACTCCTTTCTACTCGTGTTGTTTCTATTATTCGCACTCTTCTTACTGTTATTATTTGGTTTCTTATGTGTTCGTATGAAGTTCTGAATAAACTGTGGAGGATAATTATTAACTATTAGCACAGTTGTTTAGAACTCCCAAGTTTTCAATGGTTCGCCAACTCCGTTATAAATACTACCCAGATATGTATTTCCTGGAGTGTCTGCCACAAATGTAGACAAGTTTTTGTAACTACCTTCTTCTAACTGTGTAATCTACAGACGAAGCTTCAACTGACATACAAACCATAATCATCAGTAAACTAGTCAAACATTAGCCTTAATCATAAACTAAAATATCAGCTGTAGATGAAGTCTAGTACAATTATGTCAGTTACTGTATTTAGCTTATAACAGTATTGAGTACTTGGTAGACAATAGAATAACTTTTGCACAAGTCAGTAGACGGTGAAAACTTCAAGCACATCAATAAGGCTAGATTGCTTCAATTAAATACTATTGAATAAAGTACACATTATGAGAGTATTGCATTGAAATGATTCACGTAGAGATGAACATATGCTGTATGTTTTCTGATTATATTTTCTCACTACTCACCCACGTCATAAAAAAAACAGAAAGCAAACGTAAATCAACTATGAAAATTGAAGATCATACATAAATGTGACCATTGAATATGAATCTACCTGAAAGAACTCCAAACGGGATGATATTTCTTGACGATCACTAAACTCATTATTTTCTTGAATTAGCTGTCGTATAATTGGTTTACCTAATCTGTGCATAGTAGGAAATTTTATATTCAGACAGTGAGTAAAAGTAATTTGACTTTAAACTGTATAAGATATGAACCAAAACATTTATTTCAGTGGAAAATGATAGTGAGTCCCCTAGGTTGGTGGCCGAACTGCTTAATGATCAATCGAATCCTATCAGCACTTACACCTGGTCACTCTTTAGTTTCCAGCCAATGTACTTTGTCTAGTCCTACAGGAGGCCAACCGTATCGCAAAGAGCTAAGTGATGATGTAACTG